AACGGAGACGTGGACAAGGCGCTGCAGTTTGGGCTGATTGCGGCCCACCTCAACCCGTCAGACCACGAGGAGTGGATCCGGCTGGCCGAAATGTCTCTGGAGCAGGACAACATCCGACAGGCCGTCATCTGCTACAGCAAAGGTAAGCCGTCTCCGTCCGATGCTTCGCAGAATGCCTGTTTTCCCACCGTCCGGGAGTAGGTGGTAGAGTTCTAGGTGGTTCTGACCGCACCGGACGTTCCACCTCTGGTCTATTTGAAGAGGTGTCCATGTCCAGACGGCAGATCGATGGAAGTTTAACAGAAACCTGGCTTCATTTTCCTGTAGACTAAGCTTCAGGCACTCGGGATTAATGACTAAAGCTTCTAGCTTGTAGCCATTTAAACTTTCCTAGTTTAACCTTTCCTAGGGTTGCAACTAATGCTTCGCAAATCGATTAACCTGAAAATGATTTCTTAATGATCCTAAATGCAAAGTATTTATATAAGTGTGAATATATATATATATGTTTTGTTTTTTTGACCAATTTTGTATAATTGCTGCTCTAACTTGGTCGCTCTCTCACATAAAGGCATGTTTTAAAGTGTCTACACTCCAGTTAAAGCTTAATAGATCGCTAAATTAGTCGACGATTATTACAGTAATAGATTAATCCAGTTCATAGTTTCAGCCCTAGTGGAGCGTTAGAAGCTTTCCTGCTCGTCAGACACTGGATGACCCAACTTACATCTTTCCTTACGCCTAGTTTCCACTGAGAGGTGTGGTCCGGGTTTCTCCGCCTATAGGTGGCTCTATTAGGCCAGTATCTCCATACCGAACCAAACCGTTATTCTCTGGAGCGGCCGCAGAGGTAGGAACATTAACGGTGCGTTCTGGTTTGGTTCTACGGCTCCGTTTGACAATGGAAACTCAAAACGTTGAACTGGACTGAACCACTAAGTGGAAACTAGACTTTCTGGGTGTTTAATGCAAGACTGTCACCATCCTCAACTTCTCTCTGTCCCCGCAGCCATCAAGTACGACCCCACCAATGTGCGCTATCTGTGGGAGCGCTCCAGCCTCCACATGCGTCTGGGGGAGCACAAGCAGTGCATGGACGGTTACCGCAGGATCCTGTCTCTGCTGGCTCACGAGGACGGAGAGCACTTCATGCAGCTGTCCAAGGACATGGCTAAGTACGGACATATTGGTGCGCGCGCCGCGGCTCAGAGAGCCAGCGCCTCATGTTCTGGTCTTTCAGGAGTTACTATGAGAGCAACGACCTGCCGTCGGCGCTCAGCGTGGTGGAAGAAGCTCTGACCCGACACCCCGGCTTGGTCACCGACGACTTCGTCAACATGGCCGCCGAGCTCTACATCTGCAGCCGGCAGTTCAAGGAGGCCTTGCAGGTCTGTATCCGTGAGTCCGTGTTCTGTTCTGCTTTCAGAGGAAGGATGCTCTGTCCTCAGGATGGGTCTGTGTCTCTGTTTGTCCAGGTTCTGGTGAAATTTACAGACATCTTGTTGATTCGGGCCGAGTCCTCGCCAGAAGGCGCCGCTCAGAGAGAGCCGGGGACCGAGGGGCAACAGGAAGAGGAGGAACCAAAGTCCAGCCGGGACTCCGAGGACAGCCGTGAGTTCCACTCAGGTCTCCCAAAAAATGAACCGCAACGGGTCCAAGTTTCATTCTGACCGATGTTGGAGATTTCTGGTTCTGGTAGAGATTCTGGAGCCTCGGCCCGCTCCAACAACCCTGGATTGATCTCATCTCTAGGCGCCGCTTAGCTTGTTTTAGAACTAGACCCGGATCTCCAGAACATCAGGTTCCTGTTACCCTGTTCTCAGCTTCAGTTCTGATCCATTAATTAATGGATCAGAACCTCTTATGGCTTTTTTTTTATCCTATTTGTATCATTTGGGTTTGTAGAACTTCATGTCTCTGTCTGAAGTATCATTGTAGCTCTTGTAGCTCCTTCTTTCTTCCAGCAGGTGGCGCCACCATTGCTCCCTCCTGGGTTTTCAGCCACCTCTGGATCCCATTTCCTGTTTCCCGCAGAAAGCATCGATAGATGCAGTGGAAGTTCAACTTGGAAAGTCGTAGAACCGTCAGATCAGACTGGCTGACGTCAGCCCTGGCCGCTGCAGACGGGCTGATGTCAGCCCTGGCCACCGCAGACGGGCTGACGTTAGCCCTGGCCGCCGCAGACGGGCTGACGTTAGCCCTGGCCGCCGCAGCCGGCTGACGTTAGCCCTGGCCGCCGCAGACGGGCTGACGTTAGCCCTGGCCGCCGCAGCCGGCTGACGTTAGCCCTGGCCGCCGCAGACGGGCTGATGTTAGCCCTGGCCGCCGCAGACGGGCTGATGTTAGCCCTGGCCGCCGCAGACGGGCTGAT